CGCGTATGTCGTGCTGGAAGTTTCTATGCATGCATCCGTGATTTGACATTAAGTGCCTGCGGATGCATTATGCAAATTAGATAATACATTGTGACTAATTCAAGTGGATCTCACCTGGCATGCAATGATGTTCAAGACTCTGCTTGCAGAATGTCTGGTATTCAGACATTTCTGATTGAGATGGTCACTCTGTCTGTCCGTCTGTCTGTCCGTCCGTCTCTCCATCTCTTCCTCTGCCTCTGTTTCTCTGTATCTCTACCTCTATCTGTCTTTGATAAAGTAGTTTTGGGGTCTTGAATTAACAATTTAGCTGCTCTTTTAGCTATTCCACCCTCATTTAAAAAGAGCAGTGAACTGCACCTCTCGGACGCTGTATGGACGTCACCTGCCACTTGTGCGGGGAAAACGAACGCTTTCATTCTCCGACTTTGAAGACGTGTTGGTTTGCAGGAACAAAAGTGTAGATGCTTGGAAACATCAAAGTCTTTTCTAATGGATGTATTTCTGTATACCTCGTCAAACCAGATGTTTGTAACAATCCAGCCGTACGAAGAATAAAAAACAAATCGCTCAATAAATCATGTGCGACGACAGATTTAAGATATCTCTTGCATTCTGAAACCAGTTCCTTGCATTGCTTGGATGTGATTTTTGACCCATTCGTCCTCGTGAACAAGTCCCTGTTTTGGTCTCCTCTGACCCGACTGTGTTTCACTCACTTTTTATGGAGTCACAGTTATGCTATGCAGCAAACTGTGGACAGACTCCAGTACAGTTATTTGTCAGCTGTTGAGTCTTGCACAGTGAATATGCATGGAGACAATTAAGGTTGAATGCTTTACCTGTTTTTTTTTGTTGTTTTTTTTGTTTGTTTGCATTGAAACATCTTCATCTGCCAATTCCAAGCTCTCTAGTGGTTAGCGGTACTTGGCTTTGGAACATTTCGTTTATTGTTTACGTCTTTGTCAGAAATTGGAGCCGCTGGTTTGTGGTGAAGCTAAGTTTTTCTTTCCTTCTTCCTTTCTTTCTTTTTTATTTGTTTCACTCTCCAACAGTGCTCAAAGGAGCATACGGGAGTTTATCCAGCGGCATCAGTTTGTTTTGCAACAATGAGGTTGTGAACTTTTTGAGAGAGTTTGTTGCCTTTAGCCATCATTGTGTTGTGCTACACGTCGGTTACGAAGCTTTTCTCTGTATCATTTAGGACTAAAGTAGATGATAACAACTTGCCCTAATCCTGGCACATTTCAGCGTTTGTCTTTTTCACCTTTTTGTTCTTGTCCTCCGTACCTGCTGCACTCCATCACACGAGTTTACCCATAGAGTCATTTCTGTTCATATCAGCGGGTTACTGGGTTGTAAGGCAAGGAGTGAATTTTATGTCAGTAGACTCGTTGGAGATGTGTTTATTAGTTAGTTAAATAGAAGGTCTTGTGATTCAGTGTAATGTGTCTCTTTATATAGTTTGATGGCCGACAGTAAATTCACTCGCAGTCCCCCTATTTCTGGCTTAACCTACCTGCCATAAAAATAAGATAAGTAGGATGTGAGAGAGGAGGCACAATCCATCTCTGGCTTTACTGTAGCCTTTTTATACTATATAAAAAAATAGCGCAGCACACACACACACACACACACACACACACACACACTCGTATAGTATTGCATTGTCTCCTGCAAAGCTTTACTTATATACTTGAAAACTACAAAAGTAGGTTAGACATTGCATATATTTACCATAATAATCATTCAAACTTCTCCCATCCGTGTGTAAGGTAACTTTTAAGACGTTTCCTCCAGAGATGTTTCGCTTTGACTTTCTTCACTCCTCGCCGGTCACCTCCCCCCCACCCCCCTAACAACCGTGAGGATAATAAAAACTTGATTTGACATTTAAGCTCTAATGGTTGTCAGCTGTCCCTTTAGTCCTCCTCTTCCTCCTCCTCCTCTTCCCGTCTTCGGGCCGGAGCTCGGCAGCGGGCCTCGTCGCCTCGGACCATGACACAGAGAGTTATATATGCCAGGGTATTATGGGGCCCTTCTTAATCCGGTTTGTCACACTGCTCCCTCTGGAGTGGGGTAATTTCATGGTGCTGAACTGGTATTGATAGAGCCTCAGCAAATGAGGCACGCGGCAATCGTTAACTTTAATAACCATAAAGATGTGAGCATTGGAGTCGCGTAGAGCCGGGGAGAGGAAACCCACACAGGTGATTAAGAATCGACCAGGGCCTCGGCCAACATGCACCCGGCATCTCTTATTCACACTAATGGAATTACCTGTTAAAGATGTCAGAACTATTACCACCAACAGCGCAATTGCTGCTCTAGATCTTTAAATTGGAGCTTCTTTTCTACGGTTCCACACATAGAAAGTGGCCATTAAAAAGATAAAGCATAAGAATTTTCCTTTTTTGTTGCTTTTGTTTTTAAATATCTCCTGAGTTTTTGATTTACCGCCCATGCTGGGTTTCTCTAAATTCGTTATGGAGTATAGCGTTCAGCATTCTGCGAGAGTGCAGCCGGATTCTGAAGAACCAGAGGAGGGAAAAAAAAACAAACATTTATTTGCGTGACTCAAGTCTAGCTGGGTCAGTGGTTTCTGTCAATCAACTTGAGCTCTGGAGTGGTGTTTTTTTTTTGTTGTTTTTTTTTTCTGCTTTTCCAGCTCGAACCCTCCCGTCCATGAGTTTGCGTTAGCTCCGGGCGCTACTGTAGCTGCTATGTCTACTTGTTTGTCTGCTCCCATTACTGCGGGTGATGTTGCCTCAGGAGGAAAAGTGAAATCCAGGCTGGAGACGCGTAAGTGAGAAACCAGCCTGAAGCCCACACTCTGGCTGAGGTCAGAAAACACACACACACACACACACACACGCACACACACACACTGCAGCAGTGTGCTGATGGGCACTTGGTAAATGGTGAATCCACTCTCGCTCAAAGTGCATCCGCGACGGGTCAAAGTGTTTCAGACTGGATAAAATGGTTAACAATGTCGGAGATCAATTTATGTGATATTGTTGACAGGTAAAATCCAGTTTTCTATCAAAAGGAAGGGAAAAAAAAAACGGCATGATAAAAGTTCCAGATGCCAAAAATAACAATTTGTTCAATTTTATGACATAAACAAGGTGATAAATGTACTAAATGCAATACAGTGTTTATTTGATTAAACGTGTTTTGAGGTGAGATCTATTGGACTTCTTTCTTGAGGGCATGTTTCATTATTCATTGGCCAGAGTCTCACACTGCAGAAGGTCCTCTTATAAATCCACCTTAGTGCACTTTTTGTCAAATAGCACCCACTTTTTATCACATCATCATATATTAAAGAGAACTAAAGTGTAAGACAAACATCGATCTGAGTTGCCTAAGAAGTCATCCACTTGCATCTCCGTTACAAATGTGTGCAAAATGTCAATTTTTCATTAATGTCTAAAAGGCACAATTGCAAAATTGAGCAGTTTCCATTAAATAAGAAGATAAATTAACGTGAATAAACTTGTTCACGCAATAAGTTATTAAAAACCATGTCGCGTCATCATCCTCCTACCACTTCCTGTTGTCTTCCTCGACGTTTTCGCCAGCAGTAACATCCGACAGTATCATAGATAGATAGACAGACAGATACCTGCTGCTCTCACTGGGCATCTTGTCATGATGTTGCTGCAAATGATCATCTCTTGTAAGTGCGTGTCATTGGCAGTGCTGCTCAGTCAGTCTTGCTCCAACAAGCTTATGGTAGGTGACTAAGTTTTGTTCTGTTGCATTCAAATAAAATGTGGTTGTTTTTTTTCTCTCTCCCAAAAAAATTGTTTCAGAGTGAGATTTGACTGCTGCTGTAAAATGCTAAACGTAGAAATCACCGGCGTGAGCAAAATCTGGTTTTCCAGATTCTGACTGACGTGTTCAGACGACTGGAAGTTGGTCAGCGACTCGTAAAAAGAGAAAAGTTTTCCCAGCCTTGCATGGAGTTTTATGCAGTTTGACGGATCCTTTGGAGCCATCTTTAGGAGGGCATTTGAGAAGCAGCTCTTGAGAATTCCACTTCAACTTCATTTCTGAGTCCCAAGGCTGACTGCTTAATGTAGCATAGTAAAAATCTGGATCATGCACAAAAACAAAGTATGCAGACTATTATTTTGTTTTATTCTTTCTCATCTACATAAATGTCTTTTATGTTCTCTCTGGGTTGTAATTCAGACACTATTATCATCATGGAAGTGACATTTTATTATGAATACATTAAAAAAAAAAAGCTGCAATTTTTATGCTTTTCTTTTTTTAATCAGGTACTGCCGGGAAGGAGGAGGAATTTGAGGTGTACAGTAAATGTGGGTTGTGTAGTTCCTGATGAAATATGTACACCTCATCTGCTGCCAAAAGACTTGAAAAGTTGTTCCCTGGCACAGGCGGCGAGGCTCTCGTTTGGAATCCACTTGACAGAGCTTTGAAGGCTGTTTAAACATTATCTTAAGTAATCGAGGGAGTGTTCGCGAAGTTCAGACTTGATGTTTAAATAATGAAAAGCTAAATCCCGACGAACGTCATTAAACTTATATGCATAGGGAAGGCTGGCTCGCAGCCACTTTGAAGCCTCTTGAAGAGGATCATTAATTTCCTCCCTTTTCTGTTTCTTTAAATGTTAAAAACGGGAAACTAATCAAGACAGACACGACTTTTTTTTTCTTTTTTTAAATTTTCAACTATGGACTGAAGCTTTAGACGAAAAAAGGGTGATTTTTTTAATTATTTTTTTTGTTCACTATGCATGATTTCACAGCAAGAAAAGTTGACCGAAAAAATGCAAAAGCTTTTCATAAAAATATTGTGCTCCTTCAAAGAGACTTTGATGCCTGTGAGAGTCTGTTTGTCTTCAAAATCGGTATAATTTCAGCATTAATTTCGAACTTCAGCCGTTGCTCCGCTTCGTGGGAAAGAAAGAACTTCGTGTCAAATTTTACGTTTCCGTAACTCTACATATGTCTGCGCTTATTTGCCTGACGACGGGAACCGCAGCTCCTGCTGCTGCCTGAGATGAACATCGGAAATGAGGCGTTCTGAGACGGTAGACAGCAGTCGGTCACGCAGAGGGACTGGGTAACGACAGCAAGCCCACGGACAGGGAGAAACTGTGAGCCAGGCTGGAGGAGATGGAGATGTGGTACCTGACGGCTTGGTGAAGGAAAACAGGCACAGCAGCAGGCAGACGAGAACAGCGAGTGTTCGCTGATTAAGTTGTTGTGGTGAGTCCTTGAGCAGCTTTACATTCTCCTGACTGCTGCGTCCATTTCCTCACCAGTGAGTCATTAGTTAACTGTTGCGGCGGAGAGATAAAGTGAGCGAGTGTTAGAGATTTGGGGTTGATTTCCAATAAACGATTTTAAAAAGGAATAGTTCTTTCTCGACTTCCTGTTGTCAGTGGTCATTTTTATCTTGCAGGCAGAGGTGACGTTCCACTGTGTGCGAGAGCAGTTGCTATAAATAAGTTTGTTTGCAAAATTAACGTTTTAACCTTGTCCCTATCACCCTATTTTACTAATTTGCCTGATTGACAAGGTTATTATTATTATTATTATTATTATTATTATTACTATTAACTGTATCAGTCTTTGTCTGTATTCCCTGGAAAATGCAGACCTTCACCACAACTCTAAGATTTCCTAAATGTTGCCGCCAAACACTTTTAAATATTATGTTGCATAATAAATATAGATTTAAACTAGAGATCAGTCAGCATGATATTAATATCTCTGTTTGTCCCGATATTGAAAGATAATCCTGGCTCAGATGCCCGGTCCATAAGGGCAAATATTTTCTAACTCTATGTTTTGTGTTATTCCTAATTGTAATTTCTGCAAGAGGTTTTGTTGCAGTTAATATTTTTACATGTTGGACCAAGTTTGTGAAGCTATCGGTGTATTTAATCGTGTCGTACTGATGCAGCATTATCAAATAAAACTGTACATTTATGTCTGTGTTTTAAAAAAAAACATTTTAAGTCGATTCAGCTCCTTTTCTCTGTACCGGATCGATATCGACTCATGTCTCTATCGGAAGTGAAAAAAGTGGTTCATTCGTAGTTTAAATTTAAAGTAAAAGAAAAACTATTTCAGTGCAGTATGTTAAGCGCTGTTGGTACTTTTACACTCGATCAGAGGTGCCGTCTGATCACTGCAGCAGGAATCAAGTCTCACCTGCGTTTCTCCAATCTGCTGTTGACCAGTTTTGCTTATCCTGTGGAAGTTGCATCCTCTGTTTTCTGTTCTCAGCCAACAGGAAAACGGTCTTCTGCTGCTGTAGCCCAGCTGCATCAAGGTTTGACACGTTTTGCCTTTAGCAAAGGAAATTTACAAGCTCAGAGTGTCATCTTTGCCAAATCTAGACCCCCAAACGCATTGAGGTGCTGACAAGCAATTAAAACCGTGTCTCTTAAAAAATGGCCACTGAGTGAATATTGACCTTCGGTTCTTCCTCTGACTTCTTTTCTGCAAGAAAAACCGTCTTACTCTGCGTGCCGTTTCCTTAACAACAATATTCACACCAAACAGTGTTGCTGTCTGCAAAACCTTAAAGTGCTTGGATGAGGCGTGTCGGTGAACTTTCTGTATAAAACTCAGATTCATATGACTCCAGTCACCAGCTGCTTTCTTCTTAGCCACTCTGGTAGAATTGATTGCAGATGGTGAGCCTGTGATTGCTGCTCTTTGCCACTCTGCACATGTTATGGTGCTTGTTTCTCAAGTTAAACCAAGATATAAAGTTTTTTAATTATTTGTGGGGATGTTGTTACCAGTATCCAGGCGTTTGTTTTATTTTTTATTTTTTGTCTAATATAAAATTGTCAGTTTCATTTCTGTGATGGTGAAGTCTTTAGCCACCACAGAGTAATTTGTTATGCTGCTGTGACCTTGAGAACAGGTGCAGAAATAGCACAGTCAGCAGCTGGGTGTTAGGCTTACATCATATGTCAAACTCGAGGGCCGGGGGCCAAATCCGGCCCGCCACAGCTTTTTATGTGGCCCTCTGGACTCTAGAGGGACACAGAAATAGAACCATCACAATAACGGTGTGCTTAAATATTATTTTGTCAATCCATTTGAAGCTGTTTGTATCTGTTTACTACCAAATTGCACCAATTTGTCGCCCCAGTTTTATGTGAGTTATTGTGGAAATTCACACAAAATCAACAAATCCCAACACTTTTTCACGCTAAAGCATAATTGTGAGTTTATTGCAGATTTTTCGCAAAAATCTGCCAAACGTTGGGTCTAAGTGACGATTTGTTCCCACCTGCAGGTGGCAGCATTTCTTACTTCTACTAAACAGCTGCCTCAGCTTTATGTCGATGTGGCGAGTGATAAAAAGTTACATTTACCATCATACATAAGTGCAAATATTAATAAATTACTACCACAGACACTTGTTTACTGCGAAAAAAAATCAAATGTGAAATCTGGGAGTGACTCAAGTTATGTCCAGTGTGATTTAATTTTAAGAATTTATTTATATTTTAACAGTTTAACGTTTTTTTATCAATGCATCGATAAATGTATTGACAACCGGCCCTTTAAGAACATTCATGATCTTGATTTGGCTCAAACGGAAAATGAGTTCGACATCCCTGACTTGCATTATCTGCCGTTTTAAAACAAGTACACCGGCCTCCTCTGACTGATTATGACAGCGACGACGCTTCGCATCCCGCCCAGGCGTTTCAGATGTCGGGTTTTATGGTTTGCAGAAACACTTTTGGTGCGTACAGCCTACTTCTCACTTTCCTAAAACCTCTCAGGTGTGTA